AACGTAATTCCTTTAATTGTTTGAAGATTTAAAAAAAAGTAGGAATGTTAAAATCCAGTCTGGTCCTAGTTCAATCCTGAATCTTCCAGTCCTAAAGAAAATCCAATCTATAGGACTTAAGTTCTAGGACTGAATTCTAGAACCAGGTCTTGAGACTGCAGTTTTAGGATTGCGGTCTTATAGAAATTAGAACTTGCGATCCTAGGATTGCGGTCCTATAAAAATTAGGACTTGCAATCTTAGGACTCGGTCTTATAAAAATTAGGACTTGCGGTTCTTGAACTGCGATAAAAGAAATAATTGTTCAAGAAGAATGATAACGAATTATTCGACTTGAATGATAAAAGAAATAATTGTTCAAGAAAAATGATGACAAATCATTCAACTTTAATAATAAATAAAATTATTCAAGAAGAACAATGACGAATCATTCAACTTGAATAATAAATAAAATCGTTCAAGAAAAATGAAGACGAATAGTTTGACTTGAAAGATAAAAAAATTGTTCAAGAAGAATAATGACGAATCATTTGACTTGAATGATAAAAAAAAATTGTTCAAGAAGAATGATAACAAATAGTTCAATTTGAACGATAAAAAAAATCATTCAAGAAGAACGATGATGAATCGTTTGACTTGAACAATTATTTTTCTATAGGATCGCAATTCTAGGAGCACAAGTCCTAATTATTATAGGACCACAGTCCTAGGATCGCAAGTCCTAATTTCTATAGGACTGCAATCCTATAGTTCAAAGAACTTTGAACTGGACCGAATTTCATGAGATTGTTTAGGACTTAGTCCCATGGACTTTTTAATATCCGTAAAAAAGGGCTCAAAAAAAGAGAAAGGATGCTAAATATATTTTCTTTTTATACACCAGTTTTCGCACTAATAAAAGAACTCAATTTCTTTTTAATTTCGTCTAAGATTTTACAATATTGTATATATAAACTCCGATCTAAATTTCGGTCGAGACTTCAGTTTCAAAATCGATCTACAAACCGATCCAGTTTGATTTTACCCTCAAACCGATAAAAATCAGACCAAAACCGAACTGAACCGTTAACATCCCTATTGGCAACTGTATTAATAATAGGGATGGGAAATTAACGGTTAATTAAGATTTGGTTAATTAACCGTTAATTAACATTATATATATTTTTGTATCACTACACAATTCTAAATATAACTGTGTAAAAAATTTTAAAAAAGTTTCCTTTTGTTTTGATTGGTCAACTAAAAATATCCTTTGGCTAATTATTAACCTAATTAATAAGCAAAAATTTGCTACGGTAGTGTAGTTAGCCATGTGATCCATGTGATACACAAAATCATCACATGATTATATCAATTACGCGTTTTCTTAAATAAATTAATAAATATTACGCGTTATCCATTTTACGATAGAGGGGAAATACTGAACAAGCAAAAGCATTGAAATCTTCATTACGGGACCTCTTAAAAAACGACGAAGAGTTATGTAAAGAATATGAATTACTAAATACATGGCTTAGTGTCCCTGAGGAAGAGGTGAAAAAAAGAATCTGAAGATCATTGATAAAGGTGGTCAAAGCTATCTTTAAGAACGTTCGCGTTTTACAATATATTGTTTCTCATGAAACAAATTCAACACAACCACTGAATTTTAATAATACAGCAAAAGAAGAACCGGCAGTATCTACGATAAATAATAATTCAGACGATTTGAACGACTATGAGAAAATTAACGAACCCTTAGCTCTAAAGGTTTTCGCTCTCAAGGTTCATTTACTTAAGCATGTTGAGAGATCCCTCTTTAGTTTTGATTCATTTCAAAACATCATCAATATGTTCCTTCAAAATCGGTAAAAGAATTTGCAAAGAAGTGTATCACTTCATACTTTTCGGACGCTGATCTCTTATGTCTTTTAAATTTCATCATTCAAATTGTTGAATAGGAATGGATCAGTCTTGGTAAGACCGGGTAATGGGACCGATCAATGGGACCGGTCCTCCATATTCTAAGGACCGGTCCTTTATTATTTATAGTATATTATTGTAAATTAAGGTTAATTTTATTTATAAAATATTACAAAATTAGAGTTGGATCGACCCGGTTTTCATCTCTCTTATGGAACTGTCCGGTCCATAAGTCAGTCCTTGGACCCTCCCCTAATATTTTACAGTAACGATAATGTCCGAAATGAAAATATCGGAAATGGAGAAATAACGAGATTAAGAAGGCGAGGTAATCGTTTCGTGTGCAATTATTTTATTATTATACTATTTATTTATTAAATTTATAAAATTATTTTATTAAATTGATCATTATATATGTATATTTTTTCTAATATGTTCTAAACCGATCCTTGCACCAGTCTTTTAAATCGGTCTGTTTCGAGAAGAAAAGAAATTTGGACCGGACCGGACTAGACTGGTAGGACCGAATGGTACAAGACCGGTCTTTTTTGACCGGACCGATCCAACCCTATTCACGAACCGATCTGATCAGAGCTTGTTTAATGGAGATTACGAATTAAACCCATCGTTCTTTTCAAGTATTTCAAAGAAGTGAGAAATCACAACATGCATGGGATTACAAAACCAGAGGATGATGACAAACTACGAAGATTGTCAACTCTAGCATTAGAAGTAACTGTGTGCCTTAGTAAGTTTTATAATACAAATATGGATGTTATTCTTAAAAGTAATTAAGTATTTACTTACTAAGGGCAATTTATTTTATGTTTATTAATTGAGATTATGAGAAGCATTCGAGCCATTAGCAGAAATAAAGAAGGAGTTGAACTTTGAACTTGCGGAACATTTGATTTTGACGACAAATAGGAAAGATGAGGAGGATGGGGAGCTATCAGACTTTGCACTAGACATTATTGATAGATTTGATTCATCGGTAGAGTTAAAGCAAATTATGCTTTAGCTTTAGAGAAAAATGATACATTTATGAACATAAGGAAAAACTTAGTAACCCAGAAGAATGAAAGCACAAAGACTATGAAATTCATAGCCTTAATGAATTCCCAGTTTGGCATGGTGAGTATTTCAGATATTATCTCTTGGATGCTTGATCACGATTACTAATTTTACTCTCAAAACAGGTTGATATCTTTTTTTTTTAATATTTTATTTACTTGGGCATTCGAATACGGGTACTAGTGCTATAGAAATAGCTGAAAGCAAAAAAAAGAAAGAAAGTCGAAATGGAAAGCAATGAAAATTTGGAAAAGCTAGATTGTAACATTCAATTTATAAAAAATAATATGGATTCTTTCCAGAGAACATTGCCAGAAAGAACAACTCAAATGAGGTACCTTTACATCTGATCACATATTGGCTGTTTGGCAAGTTTTGGTAATTATACAAATTTTTGTATTAAACAACTTCTTTCATATGTAGGGGAATGAAGCTGAAATGAAAAAAAATAAACCCATTTTAAAAGGCATGAAGGGTGTCCTAATCAAGACACCAAACGAGTTTGAGAGGAGAATTTGGTTTCTACGCTATGGATTGGATTCGGTGTTTGTCCAATTGGACTAACTGGACTTATTTACAGTTTCGGGTTACTCAATAGGTGTATCTTTCCTTCAAATAAAGTTGATTGCAAAATTATAGAGGATGCATATTGCATCCACATTGTAAAAAAATTTTATTGGAAAAAAACAAAATATAATAACTAATAAATACACGAGTTTAATATCAAGCGAAAACATTCTTTATTATGTAATATGAATACATGAAAAACGAGGCTCCTCATATGCATAGCTACCACCTTCAGATGGTTAAGCTGATACCTTTGAAACAATCGAATTTATTGCCCTTAGATCAAATTTGATATCGATATAATTGGTTAATTTTTTTGTCCAATTTAGATCGTGTTTTGATTTTGATTTTTTTTTTTGTATTAAAAAATGACGGATCATTTAGAAATTGATAATTTATACATTGGATTCGACTTATCAACTCAACAATTGAAACTCTCAGTTATTGACGATAATTATAAACTTTTCTTTGAAGAAACTGTTCATTTTGATAAGGAATTATCACATTATGGGTACATTCATCTATAAAAATCAATTAAAAAATTTTATCAATTTTTAATTTATCGATTTTTACTTAAAACTTAGAACTCGTAACGGCGTTGTCTTGAAGGGAGAGACTGTGACATGTCCAACATTATTGTGGGTAGAATCATTAGATAAACTTCTTGAAAAGCTCAAAACTATTAAATTTCCGTTTCATAAAGTTCGAGTGATATCTGGAGCTGCTCAAGTAAATTATTATCTACAAGTTACGTGTTTTTTTTTTTGTTTTTTGTACATATTCAATGATTTCATTAAAAAGTAGCAACATGGAAGCATCTATTGGTCGCATAACGCCTTGTCGTTATTATCCTCACTCGACTCTTCTCGACCTTTAGTACATCAATTAACAAACGCGTTTTCGATTCTACAATCCCCAACTTGGCAAGATTCAAGTACATCAGAACAATGTAGCGAATTAGAAAAGTTAATAGGTGGAGCAGAAGTGTTAGTAAATTTAACGGGATCAAAAGCATATGAAAGGTTTACCGGGAATCAAATTTCAAAGGTAATTTTGTAATTATACTTTTTTTTCTTTCTTTCATTTGTAAACATATTAAATCAAATGGTTTATTTAAATATATTCCAAGATTTGTAAGACAGATCCAACCGCATTTTCTCAAACCTCACGAATTTCTTTAGTTAGTTCATTTCTCGCAAGTTTATTTCTCGGTCATTATGCGCCTATAGACATTTCAGATGGTTCAGGAATGAATTTATTAAATATTCATACTAAACGATGGGAAGATAAGTTATTAGATATATGTAGTGATGGTGCTGGAAGTGAATTAAAAGAAAAACTTGGTGAACCTGAAATCGATGGAATAAAAATTTTAGGGAACGTGAACGAATATTTTGTCAAAAGATATGGATTCAATAAAGGTAAAAGGATTCATTTGGTTTGACGCTAATTTTATTTAGAATAACCTTCATTTAATTTTAATAAATATCTTTAGATTGTAAAATTATTCCATTTACTGGTGACAATCCTGCTACAATAATATCTCTTAGTGTTAAACCCGGGGATGTTATAATCTCCCTTGGAACTTCGGATACGGTACTACTTTATACTTGTAAACCATTAGCGACATTAGATTCTCATACATTATGTCATCCATTTATACCGAATTCCTACCTTTCAATGTTATGCCGTAAAAATGGAAGTTTAACACGTGAATATATACGTGATATTTATGCTAAAGATGAAGATAACGAGTTATGGAATACATTTAACAATATCTTAAATACGACTAAACCTATGAAATCAAAGATAGGATTTTATTTTCTTTTACAAGAAATCATTCCGTTTGCGAAAGGAATCTTTAGATTTGATAATAACAAACTAGTAGAAGAATTTGAAGATAATCCAAATTACAACGTAAGAGCTATTATTGAATCACAATTTCTTTCAATGAAATTAAGAATCAATAAATTATTAAGAAATGATAAAGAAAAGATCGAAAGATTAATCGTTGTAGGAGGTGCAAGTAATAATGATGAAATATTAAAGATTTTAGCAGACGTTTTTGGAACTAAAGTTTGGAAAAGTCAAATCGAAGGGAAAGGAGGAATTTCAGCTTCTATGGGATCTGCTATAAAAGCTAGATTGGCTCTTTTGAAACAAGAGATTAAAAGTATAAATTATTATGAAATCGAAGAAAATTATTCACTTGTCGCTAACCCTAACTTGAATAATACAAAGATTTATGAAGATATGGTTGAAAATTATCAAGAAATGGAAAAGTTGGTGATTGAATAAATAAGTGCTCATCTTTTTTTTTTTTTTTTTTTTATATATATATATATATAAAGTACATTTAAATTTTTATCTTATTACACAAAATTAAAATATCTTTTTATGATTCGCTAAATTGTTCTCAGCGAAGCAAATAAATAAACAAACTCTACAACCGTTACATTGTTTAAAATTTATCCAATATATATATGATATCAAATATTAATATAAGAGATAAATCAAATTTAATTGAAACCCCATACTTCAAACCCCATGCATTCAAATTCAGGAGAAGAAGACAAGATGTCATTCTCAAAAGTGTCACATCTCGCTGAGGATCCTCTTTCCAAATCTGAATCCATCCATAAACCAACCCTTCCGTCACTGAAAAAAAAATAAAATATTTTTTGTCAAGTTATAGAAAGAAATTTCAGTAAAAATCATTGTTTTATGCTTACCCTCCACCAATTGCCAAATAATCATGCTCGCTCAATATCATGTATTCATTTCTTCCGGTCCATAAATAAGAATTGATTTTTGGTGGAAATGTATCCCTTTCTCTTGGAAGTAAATATTTCCACAGGAAACTAAAAGATTATCAAGAAAATGTAAAATAATTTCACATTTGGGAAAGAACGCGAAATATTTATTACCATTCTCCAGTTCCATAATAAGAAGGACGCGGTTTTAGCGATTCGCTAACAAACGCACCAAAAACCTACATAACAATTAAAAAGTTATCGAAAAATCTTTTTAAAAAAAAAAAAGGATTTTATTTACCAACCTGTTCATTCATATCTTTGATTGCCACTATTAAAGGTCCTTTATCTTTTACTTTATGATACATAGTAGTCATACTTGTACCATCCTGATCAAGGCTATATAATAAATTCCACGTTGGAGACAATCGTACACGTCTTGGAAGTTGTTGACGTATCTAAGATTTTAGTACATTAAGTAATAATCGTTTTATTGGAAATCATTAAAAAACATTTTCTTAATTAATATACTTGTTCAGCCATATCGATATTTAGTACAGGCTCGGTATCTGATTTTCTACCACGAAGTTCAATAGGAGCCATCAAAATTTTTTTTGGTTCCGGAACTGTTATTTCTTCTTCTCGTGACTTAGAAGGGTTGTTATTTATATTCGTGTTTTGATCTAAATTACCTAAGAAAATGCTGGTAATACTTGCAGGAACTTTCTTAGATTGTAAACCTTTAAATTTTGTTGTTAATAAATTAATTGAACTATTGTCTTTTTTAGGGACCATAGTAGGTACGGCTCGCAAAGAAAACCTTTTGGATCGCCAAGAGAACGAACCAAATTTATAAATAAAAGCCGAGGTAAAACTAAAATAATCTTCCTCGGGTGGTGAGAAACTGTTACATAGAACAGGAGAATTATTCAGTGAAATGGTATAATTTTCTCTACCAACCAAGTCCCAAAAGAGAGTTGTAGAGCTTTTATCGTAAAAAGACTCCGTGGTATTTCTCCTATTGATTTTTAGGCGATCTTTTAACGTAGTCTCTTGAGTAGTATAACTAGCAGACTGAGCTCTACGATAATTTGGTTTTTGATTATTTTTCAAATCAATCAAAGATGCTGTCGAAGATGATGATGGTAAGGTTTTTTTTGATTTATATAAATTATCAGACATTGCTAGACATTGTTTTAAATTTAGGATACTTAAAAATTTAAATACTATTTATTTCTATTATTATTATTCTAAACTTAACTTAATTTTACTTCAAAAACATTTAAATTCCCACGATATGATAATCAAAACGTAGGACTTTTTTCTTGGCTACCTAATTAGGATTTCTCATTATGCCAATCGTACGGCGCAGCTTCGCTTATAAATACAGTATATGAATTTAGATCTTAAAGAAACCCTAATCTATTGCTTAATTAAAGATTTTTTTGTTTTTCTTAAAAAATATAAAATAAATTTGATATAAATAATTCAGATATTATAAATTAGATATACTGAATTTAATTAAAAATATAAACTTAATAATATAATAAAAATACAATTTTTAAATATAATTATAATAATGTAAAATAATTATATAAGATAATTATTATCCAATTTTACAAAAGTA